AGTGTGTGTGGTGTGTACTGAATGTTTTCTCCCCAAATTTCTCATGGGAAAGCTCTAAGCCCCAGTGTGACTGTACTTGGACATAAGACTTTAAGGAGGTAAATAAGGTTAAATGAGTTCAGAAGATGGGTCCTAATCCAGTAGAATTGGCAGCCTTATAAGAAGAGGATGAGAAAGTGCGCTCACTTGCTCTCTATCTCTCTCTGTCTCCCTCCCTCCCCACTTGCACACATTGGGGAAAGACCATGTCTGCACACAGTGGGGAGCCAGGAAGAGAGCTCCCACCAGAGCCCAACCATGCTCGCCTCTTGATCTTGGACTTATAGCTTCCAGGACTGTGAGAAAATAAATTTCTGTTATATTTGGTTATGGCAGCCTGAGCAGACAAAGACTCTGTGTGTGTGTGTGTGTGTGTGTGTGTGTGTGTGTGTGTGTGTGTGTAGGGAGGTGCAAGGAGAGCATCCTAGAATTATTCACACCTCACCTGCCCCTAAAGGCTGTCAGGCTTCGTCATCAGGCCTTGAGGACAGGTGTGTAGGTCTGGCATCTTGACCTTTCTGAAATGGTTGGAAATTTTAAAAGCAGAAGCATTTCTCTTGTCAAGTCTGAGATGACTTCATCAGGACTCAGCAGTCAGACTAGATAGACATAATCCTTTCTCTCAACTCAGTCCCCTCATGGCCCAGTTCGAATCCCAGCACCTCTGCAAAGCTGCTGGCACTACCCATAATAGAACTAATATCTCTCTCCTTGGGAGTTATTTGAAACCTGATAACGACATTGCCATATGTTCATTTTGTATTACCCACCACTAGATTGGCTGTTGTGTAAGTGCAAGGATCATGTCACTTACTTCTCGGCCTCTGTTCGTGAGGAAGTAGCGTAGGGCTTGCCTGTAGAGCCCGGTCCGTAAATGTTTGCTGTTGTTGCAATAGAACCAGACTTGGCTGCATCTAGACTCTGTCATTTACTGTGTGACTTTGGGAAAATTCCTGATCTCTTTGAGCTTCAGTTCCCTCATCTACACAATGGTGATGACATTAGGGCTTATCTCATGGATTTGCTGGCACAATTAAATGATGTATTGTGTATAGAGGGCTTCCCTTAGAATCTAGCCTTTAGGAGGTACTTAGTGTAAGTTTTGTTGAAAAATTTTAAATATTAAAAGATGTATGTCTTCACCAGACCCCATTTCTCATTTTCATATTTCCTTCTATATGATAATTTACTATGTAACTCACCTGATTATTTACTGGAAAAATGAAAATAACTTGATGGGCTTGAAAGAAATCTTTTCTTTAAACTCTCTCGACATTGGGGAAATAAAAAGCAGAGGAGAGGGATTAAAGAAGGAGAAGTGAGAAAAGAAAGAACTGAGAGAAGCAGAGAAATCGCCCTTATCTACCAACTTCTTACCTGTGCCAGCCTCTCCCGCCAGCTTCGAGACCTTAGATACCTGAGGGCCTGAAAGGCGCGGAGAACCTCAACTGGCCTGGGAACCGAGGCTGCTGCCTGGAGCGCAGGGTCCTGCTCTAATGAAGGGACTGCATAATGCCTGGTCCCTGCCAACTGCAGTGAGCTGACGCCTGCGAAGGGACCAGGACTGAGAGGATGGATGCTAAGCCTTCAGGGCCAAGTGAGAGTTACAGATCTGTTTACCAAGGATTTTGTGAGGCACTTGGGTGAAGTTACTTATGTGCTGGTCACCCAAGTACACAGCTCATGGAGAGCTGCGAGCATCGTTGCAGTTTGGAGGAGATCTGCCCCCACACCACAAGGACAGGAGGGGGTCAAGAGAAGGACATTGCACCTAACATGTGTCGCTAGGATTCCGCCACTTGGCCCTCTCTGCTAACATCCCTTCCAGAACACAGGCCCCACCTGGGCTCAGGTGTGGCTTGTTCCCTGGCTGCAACAGAGAGATTTAGAAACAGACTGTTGTTTGAAAACATTCCCATTAGCTTCAAAGAGGAACGAGAGGCCCGCAGGGGGACAGGCAAGGGTGCAGAATTAGAAGTTGTTGGAAAAGTCTGGCGACTTCTTAGGGAAGTCTTACTTATCTGAACAAAGTAAGCGGAGAAGGAAAATAGAAAGTTTTTCTACTGCAGATGAGGGATTAACCATCTTCTCGTTTATGAGCCTTGACAGACTTCCTTCCAAGGCCTACACAGTCCTGGATTATTCTTCAAAAATCTTATATCAAAGTACAGCTTTATTATTTTTAAGTAAAACTCACAATAATAAAATTTGAATTGCTTTAGACTTATGGCGATGTATCATCTTTTGTAGATAGTACTCAGTGTGTTCTAACTTCATATAGACAGTGAAACAGGAACAGGGAAGGGGTACAGGACAAATCAGTGTAATCAACACTACTGCCCAAAGAGCACTGTGGGGAGAGGGGAGGAATGGTTTTAGTGGGGCAGGGGGGCTTGTTCTAGAAAAGAATAGGACTAGACCGATACCTGGAAATCACTTGGAGGGTTCAGCTCCGTGCAGGAGGGAACCGCCTAACTGTATGTTGGTGAGTGCCCACCACCGGAAGTATTCAAGCTGGAGCTGGATGGCCATCACCAGAGATCAGGAAGAAGAAGTGAAGTCTGCTGCCCTGCCCCCGTGTTCTGCCCCTGCCAGGGGTCTGGGGTATCCATGGGGGGAGTAGGATGTGTGTAGCTGGCGTTATGATGGAAATCTTCTGAGACCGAGACTCTGCTTCTCCATCCAAGTTTCTTTCCTTATTTTCTTTCCTGGTAAATTCATCTTTCATCAACTCCTTAAGCCATTCTGAGTTCACTGAGACCTATTAGCCTTCACCACCATTTGGGCTAAGCTCCCTGATGTGTGAAGTAGCACTTTATTCCATTTGGTTTTAAATAGACCTCTTTCAAGTTTCAAGGAGGTGCTCCCTAGTATATAGTACAATGGGATTTTGAGAATGGTTCCAGTTTTCTTCATGATCCTATAGCCGCTCCTAGGTTTTGCCTTTTAAACTATGATCCTCATATGTTAAACCTTATTCATACTGAAACCTATTAGTCACCTTGGTAATTTTCCTGTCCTTTGCTAGATCTTTTCTATCTCTTTTTGTACCTTTTTAAAGTAGAATGTCCTGAACTGCCTGCAGCTTTTCCTGCTTATGTGTTCTCCAGTTTTATTGCTGTTTACTCTGTGGTAGACAGTGTGGTGTATATGCAAATGAATGACTTTAGGGCATAGAAAATCCTGGATCTTCCACTCTTTATGGACTATGTGACTTTGGGGAAGTTATTTAACCAGCCGCTTTGATCATCAGCTTCCACATTTGCAAAATGAAGATGGCAGTATGTATCTCAGACGTTCATGAGGATAAAAATTTGGCATTTTAAAGCTGAGCACACTACCCTACAAACAGTAGGCACTGAATAATTTAGAGGAGGAGAAGAAGGAGAATATTTCCATTCTTAATTATAATTTATTAATAGCGAGGGACTTATTTAAAAAAATAGCTAATAATTATTTCAAAGAAGTACTTTTGAACTTCCCTGTAAGATTCAAATTTCAGTTATCTTGGTCATATTCATTTAAATTACCCTTCTTCCATTTCAGTCATTTATATAAGAACATTGCATTCATACATCGTTGAACACAAGTTAAACTTACGACCTTGCCTCTTTATCAGCATAAGTCGGTAATATTTTAGAGATACGAAATATGGAATTATCTCACCGTCTTCTGTCTAATGTGTAGACAGTCTCGGCACCTCCCAGAAGCTGGAGCTACAGAGGGAGAAATGGGAGAGAAACAACTTGCCAAGCCGAAGCCTCTCCAGGCGGTCCATCAGCAAAGAGAGGTGGGTGGAGACGCTGGTGGTGGCTGACACGAAGATGGTCGAATACCATGGGGGCGAGAATGTGGAGTCCTATATCCTCACCATCATGAACATGGTATGTTGGACTGCATGGGGGGAGGGGCGGCTGGCGAATAGATGTCATTAGGAATCCTCCACCCTCCAAAAACAAGAGCGGCTTTTTTTTTTGTCCTTTTAATGTAGAGATATGAATCTGTTCCCTGCCTAAGTGATTCAAAATGGAGATTAAGGACATATTAGTCTTTCTCTTCAAAATGTATATATCCTAGGGAGATTCGTTATTTATCACTTAGAGTTTCTACTAGGTATTCATAACTCAATCCTTTTAGTATGACTTTATCTCACCGATTTCTGTTAGTAAACTGAGGCAAAGCGCTAGAACAGGATTTCCTCAAGGTAATTAGAGCCGGAATTGGAGTGAAGTTAGTGAACCCTAATTTCAAGCTTTCCTTTCACATTCATGATGTTTTCTGCCTCCCCAGACAGAGGGTCAAGTTGAGGAAAGATATTTGCCTGAGTCACTGATAATAAAGAGGATCCTGGGTCAGGGAAGGGGTTAAAGAGAAGAAAGTCACCGATCCCTCAAGCTGGGAATCAGTCACCTTGGAAAGGCTGCTTTTAAATATCTTACTGTGGATCAGGCCAGGGGCGTATCAGGGGCGTGTCTCACTCTTCTTTGCACCCCACCAACACGTCCTCACCATGAGATGACATTTATCTGAAGTGCATCACGATGCCCTTTTCCCCACCTCAGGCATTTATCTGGGCTAATGGTTCTCCATTTATGACTCTAGGTCACAGGGCTGTTCCACAGCCCAAGCATTGGCAATGCCATTCACATTGTCGTGGTGCGGCTCATTCTACTTGAAGAAGAAGAGGTAAGGAATGTCCACCTCCACCCGTCTGACCCCTGTCTTCACACTCCCTCCCTCCTTTGTTGAGAAGAGCTCTTGATGAACAAGAAAGAAGGCACCAGAATGATGGTTAGAAGCCCCTTGGGAAGGAAAATATTTCTGTATTATTTTCTCAGGAATTCAGTGATACCAAGTGATTCCAATACATATATCCCGGAGAACATTTCTGAGATATATGTATTGGAGTCACCTGACGGTCACTGTGTCTAGTGACACACAAACCAGATTTGCAGCAGCGACTAAGAATGTCCCACAGTGGAAATAGACTGAGTCCTTATATGGTTGAGTGATTCAGTAAGAGTTAAGAGGGACGGGGAAATGTTGGACTTTTGTTTACCTCTTGCATATTAATACATATCTCTTAGATTTGGGCCCTGTTTTCTATCTGCACTTTTACCCTTGGGGATTTCATCTCTTCTTGGAGACTTATATTCATCTCCATGCTGGGACTCTCGATTCATACCTCAAGCTTAAGTCTCTCACTTGAACTCTAGACTCATATCTAATTGCTTACTTGACATCTCAACCTGGATGTGTCATTATCCACTCAAACGTGGAAACTTAATAAGTCCAAAATGGAATTCTTGATTACTCTCTGCCCAGATCATCTCAGTTCTGCCTCCTCCCCATCCCGCAACCCTCCATCTTACCCAACTCAGCAAACGATGCCACTGTGCGCTGAGGCATAAACCCTGGGATCATTCTTGACTCCTCCTTTTCACATCTTCCACAGCAAACAACAAGGCCCACAGTGTTCCTACTTCCAAATACATCTCAAAACCACTCACTGTTCAATACCTCTAGTCATGTCATTGGTTTAGGTTTTACCACATCTTATCTGGACTACTGCAGTGAACACCCTAATGGTCTTCCTTTTTTCAGCCTTGCCCCATAATCCATTCCCTACATAGCAGTTAGAATGATGAGTTAAAATACAAATTGAGTTGCTTCGCTGTAGAAAACTATTTAATGGCTTTCTATTGTTTTTGGAACAAAATCAAAACTTCTTACTATGTCCTGTAGAGACTTTCATAATATTTCCTGTCTTTCTTTATGTCACTCCCTGTGCCTTGCTTCTGACCCTCACACTTACTGAACTTTAGGTAGGTTCTGGAACACTCAAGGCAGCCTTCAGTCTCGTGGCCTGTGCACGTGAGATTCCCAGTGCCTGGAACACCCCCTCCCTGGCTGTGCTCCTGGCTGGCACCTGCTCACCGCTCAGGCTTCTGTTTAAATTCTGCTCTTCAGAGAGGTCTCAATGACCAGCCTACTCAAAGTTGGCCCCACTTACCATTCTCCATCACAGAATATAGTTTACTACCTTTAGGGATCCCATTCTCATAATTCATTAATATTCTGTGTATATGTTTCCTCCTTTCTCACTTATCTCAGCCACCATCGGAATGTGAATTCCATGAGGTCAAAAACTTTCTTTATTCTTGGCTGTATCCCCAGCACCTAACACAGTGCCTGGGACATGAAGGAATGATGAATGAATAAGTGAACGATGTGAAATTTAATGAATGAATGAACCAGCCAACCTGAGGAAATACATTTGCAATCTATAAAATTTAACCAGCAGTTGAAATATAAGAAAAAAGGCATAGTTCAGATCGCCATCAAGAGATCCAAGGTCAGAATGCCCAAGGCGGGGTTTATTGTTTTCTGGGCAAGAGAAGCCTCCACAATCAGAAGATTTTAAAATAATCATCTCCAGAGCCTAGATACATTTTTCTTCTCTTTCCTACCACCCCCACTTCCCATAGTCACTCTGTCTTGAGTGACCTGAGAGTATGTCTTTGCTCTGGGTGTCTTAGAATACTGATGGGTATATTATTTCCTTCCTGTGAACCTTTTGTTAAGAAAATTTATCCCAAACTTCTTTAAAAACCAGGCACAACCAAAACTACATAACTTTCCGATGTCTAACATGACGGATCTGACTCTATGAGAAGGTAACTCTGATTATTATTTACTGTTGATTAGGGCCTAGACACAGTAAAGTTAGATGTTAACGTGCAGAGAACTGATAGGGTATAAGTGGTTTTTGTCCAGTAGAGATGAAAATGATTTATGTCCAACAGAGGGATAATTCTGAAAGTTGTGGTTTTGTTGGTCTGTGGAACGTGAACTAGTTTTGTGTCTAGTTTAGCACTCTTACTCCAGCATTCTTTTTTTTCACTGACGACAGTTGCATCAGTTTGTGTATCTGCCTTTAAACCAGCTTTGCCATCTTGCCTGTCTCCTCATTAATGAGTTCAATACATCCTTAAGATGTGCTCTCTATATGTTTGTATGAGAATTATGTTTTTAACTTTTGACAATTATACTTTGATACCTTAGAGGACATATTTTCACTAGTGTATAATGACCTAGTACATATGCATGCTTAGCTGCAGAATGTATGGAAATTTAGGGGTTTTAGGCCAGGAAGAAAATAAAAAAGGAAAGTTCTTCTGAGCGTGAGAAGGAAATACCTTTACCTTCTACAATCCCACCAGTAGCACTAGGAGGACCTCACAGTGAGGCTTGCATGTAGCTGGTCATTTAGAACTCCACAATTCTTCATTCCCAGGAAACAAAATCTCCCACCAAAGTTTTGCTGCAGTGACATCTTTGGGGAGAATTTGATTGGCATGACTCCTTGACCCTATCACAATTACATTGTTTGTTTGTTTGTTTGTTTTCCCTTCCCATCCTCATTTGCAAATACAAAGAGATACAATTGATTTGCTGCAAAAAAAAGCCATGGCTTCCTTTCTCTCAGTTTCCAAATGTCTTTCTCATTCAAGCTTTTATAGAACTTGCATGTGGTACAAGGTTCATTAGTTAACGACAGAATTGCTGGGTCATTGGAGTGTTGCAATTCACAGTTCTCATTTCCCTGGTTCCTTGATAAGAGCTCAAGCTGTTCTTCATACCTTTTGACTAATCAGCAGACCCAACAACAAATAGCAATGATTCCAGCCCTTAACGGACATCAGGGTAAAAGCCACAGATGGAAAGTACAGTGCGAGGTATTGGGACGTGACTACTCCTTTGAGCAACGAGACCTAAATTCTAGTCCTGATTTTTTGATCCAGGAGGAAGCTCCGAGAAAGTCACATCGTTGCTGCACGTACCACGTTTCCTCATCTGTAAATGAGAAGAGAGTTGTGGTGCATCAGCTGTATGTCAAACGCTGTGCCAGCCACTGAAGGTACAAATGTGAACATAGGTCCCATTTTGCAATTCTGAGGAGCTTAGAGTCTACAGCACCAAAGCACAAAAAAGAGAATTTCAAACTGAGATTATCATGAGTATTAAAAAAAATGAAAAAGTACCTGGGATAGAGAAGGATCCTTGGCTATCTAAGCTGGATTTTAGAGGATGAGAAGGAATTATCCAGCGAGGAAGGACATTCCTGGTAGAGGCACCTCCGCTGGCAATAGCTTTAGTGCTTCAACTAGCACCTTACGTACAAGGTGCTATGAACACGTCACTGATACTGAACTACAGAATGGGAGGCTAAGAAACCTTGTGAAAAAAAAATAAAACAATTTAATTGTGCTGGAGGCAAGAGGGAACATAGCCAGTCAGATACCTCCACTCTTAGCTGGTCTTGTTCCAGTGCTTCCTCTCACTGTACGTGATATCATCATCCTTCCAGTTGTAGAAACCGGAGACCTGGAAGGCATCCATGACACATCCTTCTCGCAGTCCCTCACGTCCAGTCCATCATCAGGTATTTGTCTGACCATCTCCATATCCATCACTTAATTCAAGATACAGTTACCTCTTTCCTGGGCTACAGCTGTATATACTTTCCAGTCTACTTGGAGTCCTTGCAATCTTGCTTTCTCATTGCAGCCAGGATGATCTCAGACTGGTAATCCGATAATGTCCACCCATCTGACATCCCTTCTCCAGCCCATACCCCTATCTTAAAGTAGTCCCATGGTTTTCTGATTCCCTCTCTCATTTTTTCATGCCCATCTGCCCTTTGTTCTTAAGACTGAGCAGTAGTCTTCTACTCACCATGATTTCTCTTGCCCCTGATTTTGTTGTAGCCTGGGCCATCTTCCTTTTTGTCTTAATTTAGTTAGCACCATGGTCAGAACTCAGCTCAAGTGTCACTTCACTGGGAAACCTTTCCTGACTCCCATGCCCAGTTATATTCTATTATACAGTGGTCCTCAACCTTTTTGGCATCAGGGACTGGTGCTTCTATGAGAAGCTAATACCTGATGATCTGAGGTGGAGCTGAGGTGCTGGGGAGCAGCTTCAAATACACTCACTAGCTCACCGCTCACCTTCTGCAGGCTACCTGTCTGCAGCCCTGGGATTGGGGACCGCTGCTGCACTCCTACATAACACCATGCATGTCTCCTTTATAACACATATTACATTTGTAATTTTACATCTCTTCGATTGATGCACTTTTCTCCATTAGTATTAAGACATGCGGGCAGAGGCTAGGTTGGATGTTACTCATCATCTAGCCCTACTGGTACATAATAAATACAGAAAAGAGCGAATGAGTGAGGCTAGGAGTCAGTGGATGAAGATGAGGGTCAACAGTGGCCAAGTCATGGCAGACCTCGTGGCCATTTAAAGGGATTTGGATCTAATCCAATGAGAGCCTCTGGAAGATTCCTAACCGATAGATGAAATGGAGAGAAAAGCATTAGAGGCATGTCTCTGAAGCTCTGGAGAAAGTGACATGAGGTGAAGAATACTGAGACAGGGCCTCTGAGATAGGTCTCTTCCATCAATGACTTTCTTTGACTCTAATCTTTCTTATTCTGATCAAATCTGACTGCTAACACCATTTTGGACTTCATTTTCTATGGTAGGTTCAAGAGACTTTGTGGTTAATCAGTCTCTCTCTCTCTCTCTCTCTCTCTCTCTCCTCTCTCTCTCTCTCTCTCTCTCTCTCTCTCTCTGTCAGTTACTGCCATGTAAAAACCACTATGGATTTTCAT